AGCGATTTGTGAACAATACAATTTCGCTTGTCTTTCAAATGCCATAAATCGCTAGAATACTGTAGTTTAGTAATACATTTGACATCTGTGAGTATAATTTCTTACACTGAATCGAACGGTGGTATTTTTGTCCTTATTGGGAGCATAAAACCAGAGATAAGACGCAGCAAAAAGTCAATCGTGAGAGTTCGAGTTGTAATTCGAAAGAAAACTTTCCTCGAAAAAAGGAATTCGGAAAACGTGAAGGATTATTTTGAGCGGCTTTTGTCTTTCAAAGGCGACAACTAGCTAGAATAGAAGTCAATTTTGAAATTAATTTTCCATCCGTAAACACAACTTTTCACGCTGATTCGAACAGTGGTATTTTGTCCTTGTTTGATGCATAAAACCAGATAAAGCTGAGCAAACAGTCGATCATCATGAGTGTACACGATTAATAATAATTAATAAATTCCGAGCACGTGCAAGGAATTTTTGGTAGCGATTAAGGAAACGTATTGATGCGAACAAACTAACAAACAAACGGACAAACTCACAGGCAGAATATAATGCGTGCCAAAAATGGCACGGGCACCGCAACTCACAGGCAGAATATAATGCGGTGCCAAAAATGGCACGGACACCGCAATATCACTATAATTTGATTATAATTATAATTTGAGTAAAACTATATTTGACTAAAACTATCATTAGAAATAAGGAGATTTTGTTTCTCTGAATCGAATGGTAGTAATTTTGTCTTCATAGCATGCACCGAACCGGAGATATGAACCTTGCAAAGTCATAGAACGTCTACGTTAGTAGGAAGCTTATTAAAGATGCGCCAAATCTGAGATATGGCGCGACTAAAAGACAATCGCTAACATAAATGGGAGACTAGTTTTACTTTGTTTTTCTCGTGTCCCTGACTTTGTTTACCAACAACAGTTTTTATCCGTGAAGTGAAACTGTGATAATAGCGGCAGTTTTTCGTCACGTCCGCGTCGCAGATTTGGTAATATTAATTTAATGATACCACTAGGAGACCTGACGAGATGCAGCTACAGATCAGCATCTTTCAATACAACATATTAACCAGGTATGAGGTATAAAATTCGCTCCGGAATCATCGGACTGACTCTGCTGATTCTGTTGACATGACGGCTTTATAGAACTTAGAATATAAAAAGTTAAAGTGACGTTAAACACATCAGCGATCAAAACCTTCGAGCTTAAAACATTATTAAAACAGATAACTTAACAGGCATCAAGATTCGACTCACTTGCGTGACGTCAGAATAAATGCTAGTGCCAGACTTCTGTCGCCGACGGCCATTAGCCAAAAATATTTGGATTCAAATGGCTCTAAAATTTTTTCGATTTGATGAAATCGAAAAATTCTTTCGCTAGAACACTATACTAAATGAGTACTTTCAATAGACTGAAAAAATTTTTGTGTCAGAGGCACTTTAATGAATGGTAATTAAAAATGTTCAGACATACTGAACCCTTATACCATACACTCGTGTGTATATGGTATAATATTTCAACAGTTACTCAATTAGTTTAGCAATCGACACAACTAGCTCCAAACCTGATAACTGATAAACATGTCAACTGCTGCTCTTTCGTTAATACCTCAAAATCTCAAATGTAGCTAAAAACTCGACGTTTGTATCTGCGCTAGCAGATATAATGCCACCACGTTGTAAGTTTGTGTGTGTGTAAACTTGCAGCCAATCAGAGACGAGGTTATATTACAATGTTTGTTTATACTCTGTGATTCTTATATAAAACGTGAATGATTATTTCAAGATGGCGTATTTTATAAATAGACAAATATCTCGTATATTTAAAGCATAAACGAGTTTATGCGTTTATTTGGTTTAAAAGATTAAAAGAAAACAAGCGAAGCCATAGACTGAATCGACCATTCGACCTATTCTGTTGCCCGGTCATGCTATGCAAATGTTTAATGATTTCAGGGTCGTACGCAGGATTTTTTCACCAGGGGGCAATAAGGCCTATATGTGCCGCAAAAAGTCCCAAATATCCAAAGAATAATTAACATTGATATTCTAAAAAATTAAATATAGTTTTCTCTATAGGGGCAGTTGCCCCTGCCCCCCCCCTCTCCCCCGCTGTGTACGGCCCTGAATGATTTGCATTACTAGCTCACACCTTTAGAAATGTATTGTCTTTAACGAGTTACCATGGCTAGCTTCGCCACTGCTTTCCATTTGATATTGGTTGAATTTATTTCTTGTGTAGATAACTAAATAAATGCTGGGACTTCAATAATAATGGGAAAACATGGATGGATCATGAAATTGACTGCTCTACGTTTCTTCTTGGGCGGCATTGAAAATTACATTATTGCACCTACAGCATGGTACTACGTCAGATCGTTTGGTCAAAGCAAGTTTTTCTTGGCTTTAGTCCTAATTTCGTTCAACATTGGGGCTATCATTGCTGGACCTCTATTTGGATTCCTAACCGATCGATTTGGAAATCCCAGGTTTATATTTATTTGTTCTAATGTACTCAAGTTCGTCGCTAGTGTGATGTACAGTATTAATCTGAGTGCATATTTCCCCCTTTTTGCAAGGTTAATAACAGGATTAGATGGGGGTTTGGCAATCCTCCTGGGACAAATTGCATTACAGATCGACGAAGAAAGTCGTGGAAAAAGCTTTCTATTCTTTGAAAGTGTGTACTGTCTTGGTTCTGCAATTAGTCCTGGAATTGGAAGTTTTATCTCATTTCGCATCAATATACTTGGTTGGGATATAAATGAGGGCAATTCACCTGGAATTGTGTTGGCAATAATATGGCTTCTTTTCCTTATTTTTTCACTGTTCATACCTGGAACTATGTGGGTGGAGACAGGTACTCGTATTGAGGAATTGAACTTTAATATTAGTGCCTATGAAGATGAAAAAAGATCCAGTGAGTACGATCAAGATGGCGGCCAAAGATTGAGTGAAGACTATAGTTCAGAGAAGAAGCCTAGAATAATGTGGGATTCAAGAATGTTTTGCTTGTTATTCCTGATATTCACCAACATGGGATTTTCAAGTACGTCCACATTTTATGCACCTATATTGGCGTTGGATTATTTACATCTAAAACTTATTCACACCAAGTTGATATTCCTGAACTGCACCATATTTACACTTCTGGTCTTTACCTGTTTTCATATGTTGAAGAACGAAAACTCTTTGCAATTGCCTTGTTAATGCAACTTTTTTCCATCTCATTTCTCACTTATCTGGCTTTCTCCTGGGGTCACGTAACTGATGTTCAATACTATATTTTACTTTTATACGTTTGTCTGGGTATGCCATATTTTGCGTATCCTTTCGGAAATTCAATTATTTCAAAGATCACCGACCCTCAGTTTGCGACACGTATTCAAGGATTATCCTTAGCAACTACACATATCTCCTTTGTAATATGTCGGGTTGTTGTCAGTTTTGTGTTCACCAAAACGAGTTTGATATATTTCTGTTTTGCCTTGATTATCTTGTGGTTGGTTGGTATTATATGGTATGGTATGCTTTACAAAAGAATGGCTCTCCGTGACTAAAGGAATATTTATGTTGGATATTAAAGGATTTTCTAAATTTAGTCGTGAATTTATTACTGTACACGGGACGAAAATATACATTTACGCACGCGCAAAATATATCGTAAAGATGTCGCAAAGGTTAAATTTACCGAATTCACTTGGTTTTACACATTCGTAAATATGATAAATGCAACAACTTTACACCCGTTGTATATTAGCCATTGCCGTCAAGGCAATATGTAAAGTTGTTGCAGAAGTGTTGTAAAAATCAACTTTGCATAAATTTGCTTCGTTAGCAAATTTGTTTGCAAAACTGCAACTTTACTAACGGCTTTACGCAATGGAATTGTGCAGGCAAATAATAATTATTACCAAATTTGCTCGTTTGCAAATTTAATGCAAAGATCGACTTTCAAAACTTTACGAATAATTTTGCACGCTTAGGAGAAACGTACTTTGAAGCATTTTGCATCGGTAGCAAATTTATGACAAAAAATAATTATACATCAACTTTTCCCATGGGCAAATCCTTTCAATAATTCGTTCTCGTGAATCATAGGCGGATTTTCTTCTTCATAGCGAGATCCCGCGCAAAGAAAGTCAAACTCATTGTCATAATAGGCCTACAAGGCTGAAGCATGATCGTATACAAGTAAATTAATTCCCATGCCATTTCCACTACAAACGTTTCGCTTTTACTATATATAGGCATTGTTTTACATGCAACAACGAGCTAATTTGGTTCCAGCATAGTAATGATACAACAAAAGTCAGTAACAAAAAATACGTTTTTAATTAAATAATAAATCAATCACACAAAATTACAAGCATCTAAACACCACTATATCCTGCCATGCAGACAACACCAAACTCTTCATATATTATTAAATTAAATAAGTTTCAAATATTGCTATATAGTCTGTATATATACTAAGGTGCATACAGTCTTATTAGTATATACCAGAAACACGAGGAAAGTGTAGTGCCCTATAATAGTATATAATTTATAGTGATATAGACGTGCGTACATGAAACCATCAGAAAAAATGAATGCACATGCAA